CGGGACTGAGGCAGGTCTGCCTGGGAAGGCTGCTCTTGCTTTGGTTGTGTTTTGCTGACAGTAGAGCCTAGAACCAAGTCACCATCATGGAGACGTTTCCAGCATGATGGAGAAATGCAAGTGGCCAGTGGGACATGGGCACCCAAAGACATCACATCCTTGTGAATGGGACTTGTCTGGTGCAGAGGATACAGGAACATGGCACAACCGCCTCTGTCCCAGTGTCCTGCAACCTGTACAGAGCTTGGCTTGCTGCAAAGGGAGTCAGAAGAGCGCATTGGAAGGGGAGCCTGGCACCTACATTCAGAGTTCAATTTATAACATTGTATATGGTATATTATTATTATAATAACTTACTGATTATTCCCAAACCCACTGTCTTCTCTTAAAAGTCAGCCTAGACACAAGCTTCACATCAAGAATTTTATTCACTGGATTTTAGGGTGTTGTTTGTTTTTTTTTTGAGGGGAAGGCAGGATTGCTAGTTTTTTTTGCACCCATCCTTCCAAAATGCTCACAAAACCAAGTGTTTTGAAGCTTACATCTTTCAGACACTGAGAAAACAGTGATGCTTGGAGTCAAACAGTTTGGGAGGGAGTACTTCCTATGTGGGATGGTCCCACTCTCTTTAAGTGGCATTTAATTACTTGCCACGAGCACTGCAGTCTTCTCTGACACAGCAGAGCCCACCATGGGCTGTTCATTAAGTGCCAGTGACCAGTGTTGATAGCAAAACAGATTAACTCTCATCCTTCTCCTCTCTCTGTGCTGGGTGTTCCAGCTTCCACAGAGAGCTGCACCTCCTCTGGCAGAGGCTGCTCTTATCCAGCTCCAAGCTGCACCAGAGCTTCAGCATCTTTGGGAGATTTAGGAAATCAGGATGCCTGGAGGGGTCTCCAGCTGCTGGATGTGGTGCGATCTCACAGTGGGATGGTTCCTCTGACTGGCATTGATGTGGTGCTGGTGGACCCCATGGAGATCCCCAAACTGGGACAAATTACCATGTTCCTTGAAAAGTCGCATGGCGTTGGCTTGGCAGAGACCTGCCTGTGTCAGCCTGGCATCTTCTTGTTTAACCAGTGGATTTTTGAGCAGATTGACTCGGATAGATAGGAAGAATTTGCCAGTGGGTTAATCCACTTCTTCCCATTGGATTGAGGTGCGCAATTTCCACAACACTCCGCAGTGGAAGTTTTCTTTTGGAAGACAGTTGAAACCAATGAGATTTGGCCAATCCGTCCTCATACTTTTATCATAAGTCACTGAAACTGGTGCCTGATAAGCAGATCTCCATTAACTGTGTTCCTGCATATGCACCAAATTGCATCTGAGTTTGCAAGCCCTCCTAAAGAGCAATGAAGAAATGACTGATATGAAGCAGGTCAGGGTGCTCAGAAAATATAGTAGTGTTGCAAAAAAAGAAAGAGAAAATGAATCTCATTTTAATTAGGATAAAAAGTCCTCCTTGTATTTATGCAAGCACTTTATACTGTCTTAGACACAGGTTCTTTGCAGGAAGTGCTTTACCATAGCTTGCTGCTATGGGGCTGACAGTGGGAGCTCGGAAAAGCAAGCACCAGGTCCTCAAACTGCCCTGAAATGTGGATTTAGACTGCAACAGTTTAAAAAAAAACAGGTAGCAGCAGCAGCCTTATTTACAAGAGGGTTATCTGCAGTGGTGAGGGGTGGTGGTAACAGGGAAGGGAAATTTGGGCTTGAAATTCTCTCCAGCATCCCCAGATCTTTGCCTTTAGTCCCGTTTGAGAACAGTATTTAAACCTATGGGGAAGGGATCACTGGCTGGTGGCACTGAACCAGCCTGCCCATCTTGCCAATTTACTCCAGCACCCCTTGTTCCTCCTCTGACCCTTACTATGGGGTGAGGAGGACCGAAACCCCCCCAACATCCAGGTCAGGCAGAGGCGCAGACCTGGATGCCCATTTATTCCGGTAAGAGACGCTTCCCGCTGCCAACCGGGGCAGCCACAAGAGCAAGAAGCAGAACAGGCTTTGCAGTGCCGGGGCGAGGCGAGGCGAGGCGAGGCGGCTCCTCAGGACGTGTGGCTCATTTCCCTTGCCTCTCCTCCCCGAGACAGACTGCGGCAGGCAGCGTGCAGCCCCCTTTGCACCTCCCGGCCTCCCTCTCCCCGCTCGGTCCGTGCCAAGCCCAGCTGCTCGGCTCCGGGTGCTGCTGCAGCTCCCGCTCCTGCTGGCACGGCTGCTGCCGAGCGGAGCCGGGGAGGGCCATAATGACGCACCCGATTGGTATTAGAAGACTTCACCGGCTATTTATAGGCCCCCGCCGACCGCAGAAGGCTCTCGGCCTCTCTTTTTCTCCCCCCCTCCCTCTCCGCCTTGCTCACTGGCTTTAGCTCAGCACAGGAGGGGGGGCAAAGAAATGCTGTAAATAAACCAGTGGGTCCAAGCGTGACATTCCCGAGCACAGTAAAGTTTCTGCCCCTCTGTTATTCACATCACCAGGCACATTCAGTCTGAACAACCATTTCTAGCTTGCCAGCTTTTTGCTCTGGTGTTCTCCCCTCCAGCTTTTCAGCCTGGATTTCTTTCTCTCTCTCCCCCCTTCTTTTTTTTTCCTCTTTTCCCTCTCCATTTTTGCGCAGTTTCACTTTCCAGTTCCTGGCATTGACTTGGCTATTCCTCAGCAGGGCTGGATGAAGCCCAGAGCGGGGGAGACCTCTCTATTGAGCTTAACAAATGTCCCCAGCTCCTGCCAAGCGCTTCCCTGTGTGTCTCTTCCCAATAGGCAGGCTGAGCCCTGACCCTTATTCTGGCACACATCATCTTCTGGTGCTCTCCTGACCACAGGGCCACGCTACAGCTCTCTGGTCACTCACGGAAGGTCAGTACCCTTGTCACTGATGCGTCTATCCAGCCCCTGACTTGCACCTGGGCTGGTGGGTGAGTTGATGAGGACCAAGCTGAGCCGCAGATGAAACAGCACCATTGTGTCAATGACAGATGATCCTTCAGAGTGGATAACCACAGCAGGAAGTTTGGGATCGCTGTTGCAGGAGCACAGTCTGCCCCAGCTCGGGGCAAAGGCAGCGTTTGGAAATGTGAGTGAAAAAATCTGTACACCTGGATATGGGCAGCGAGGTAAAACCCATGAATAGTGTCCACAGCAAAGGCGCTGATGGAGAAGTAAATCCATTTACAATCACTTCAGTGAAGTGAAAAATAGAGGTCACTGGAGGTACACATCCTTTTTTTTTTTTTTTTAACAAAACAATGCTGATTTTCACAGTATTTATTGTCAGGAGCATTTCTAACAGAAGCACTCCCGCCCGCATGCAGGCCCTTGGGCTTACAACATGGGTAAGAGAGGACAACTGTGGGAATTAAATCTGTCACAAGATGTTTTCCTTCTACTTTCTCATTGAATTAACCATTGCCCTACCTGGGAGACTCCATTCCTTGCAGCCCCATCAGCACCGCAGAGATAAAGCAATCGAGGGGTAGGGGTGTCTCCTCGGGAGAGATGAGTCTTACCCTTAAATAAATCACTTCGCCTCTCTGTTTTTGTGTGGCACCCTGCTCCATGCTTATCTCTTTGAACTTGCAGGCGCTAGAGACATCTCCTTCTGCTCTCACCAGGTATTTCCTACAACTAAACCTTGTTCACAAGGACCACACAAAAACATCCCTGTTACAAGAACTTGACACTTGGTGTTTGACAGAGGAACTCTGCTTGGTTCATTGCTATTATTTATTGTATTTTTCTCAGTGTTCCAGTTCTGCCACTTCATTCCTAAGCAGGAGAATCCCTACAGCTTTGGCCCACCTCAGCTGCACTCAGATGACAACTGGCAGTACCCAGGTGCTGCAGGTCATCTTAAAGCTTCCAGTACACTCAGCTGTGGCAGTTTGCAAATACCCCTTAGGCATTTGAGAGGCCTGTGTAAAAGTTCTGCTAGTTTTGACAATAAATGTAGGGACAAAATAAATAAATTAACACATTTAATCTGTGGTTTGGACTTTAGACTTAAGAGTGTTCCGTGTTGTATTTTAATACAACAAATATCCCATGGCATCTGGTAAGAGTAAGACGAGCAACTCAGCACATTATCCATTCACGTATTAGATCAGAAATGTGTGTAAACCAGGCAATAAAGCTGTTTGAGCAGGAGTGCTTACAAGGTATTAGGGAAGTAATTTCAGTTTTTAAATTACATGAAAAGCTGGTGTTTGGCAGTGCTGTGCAGGAACAGTGACACCGGACAGCCAAGGGAAGCAGCATGGTGAAAGGTGTAGGCGCAGCTTACGAGCACGCATGTTAGTGGCATACTTCAGCAATAAAAACCATTACAGAGATTTATTTTTTTTCCCCTTTAAGTAAAGGAGGGTCTGTTTTCTTGCAACAAGAGCTCTGGATCTTCTCTCTTGGTCACTTGTGAAGTAAAGGGATCGGGAACATGATGCTAAACTGCTGGAGCACACACATTAGCCTGCCTGTGTAATGGCAATAATGACATTAAACTCAAACCTCAGTCTTTTAAACTGCACAATTATACTGTATGTCCTGTAATAAAACAAATAATTTCAATATAACTATTTAGAAAGCTGAACACCCTTTGAGAAAAATAAGTATATTACACTGGTAATACCTTTGTTCCAGTTCTACCTAACCACTGCCAACAGAGAAACAATAAAAAGTATCTGAAGTTCTAAGTGAAATGTTTAAAATGGCAATTGGTTCCATCTCAGCACACGGTATTGTTATTTCTCTGCTGAATTCAGATGGTCTCCAAGAATCTATAAGCTTGTTGCAGCTGGACAGTGTTTATAGACATATGGCAGGGGATGGTTTTCAAAGGAATTTAAATATTGCAGGGAGCGGTTTTATATTGCAGGGCCCCAAGTTTGCTTTGTGATAGCGGTTTACTTTCACTGTTGCTCAAGAAAGGAGCCCTCTGTTCAGAGGGAAATGCAGAAGGTGTGAAGTGAACAAATAAAATGGTACATTTTCCATCCCTGGCGCAGCAAAGCAGAAAAAGACTGGATAAACAGGAGAGGCACAGGACCTGAACAAAACAGACATCTACCACTGGTTTCCATTCCCTGAGTCGATGAACATAAATTAACACCGGTAGGTAAGATGACTGTGTTTTTGAGATAAAATTTTGCTTTCCATGAATACCCTCTAAAATGGGCTTAAAATTCTTTCCATAAACATTTCTAGCCACTAATCTAATTGACTGGAATGTTTTCAGAAAGCAAACACAGCTGAAGGAAATTCACTGCTTTTATTCACATGTAAGTGAGTATTTGCAGGTTTTTAGAGGTATTCCCCGAGGTCAGTAACTAACTAAACAACCTTATTTTGTAAACAGCTATGGTGCAGTAAGGAAGTCAGGCTCGGAGGTCTTTGTGTGAAACTATCTACCAAATCATCGCAATAATGCTCAAAAGAACAAGTCTTTTTAGCAGGTGTTCCCTTCAACATGATACACCCCACCGATGCTCCCTGGAAGATGTAGCTGAAAGTAAAGTTTGTGTCACCAGGGTACCTGCAGGGTCAGAGACTGCTGACTGCTTGAGATGTGCATGCAATAGGGAGGAATCAGGCTCCTCTTGCCACACCCTCATTTCATCTGGGCTTTGAAACCTCAAATTCTTGGGCTTTGGGGGAATTACTCTGCATTTACAAGGGTGAAAGAGGGGCATCAGGCTTCTGGGACCCACCTTGTCTACATGTACAGTATGCACCTTGAGCAGACCTGGTTGCCAGAGCTCCTTTTACTTTGGGTTTTGTGGTTTGGCTCTTTCTAATAACTTCTGTAGCAGCATCTGTGGAAACCTTCAGGTAAAGCCAGAGCCAAAGCCAAGATGCGCAACCTTTCTTCAGAGTTTTGTAACACACACAAATTACAGAGGGTGAGCTACCGAATTTCCAAGCCAGGGACAACACATATCCCTGCTGAGCTGATCCCTATCTAAGCAGCACTAGTTTAATTGCAAGCAGTTCAGTAGAAATGCTGCAGTTTCTAAACCTGGTCTGAGGACTAGCTCGGCTCAGCTCAACTGAAGGAAACACACTCCTAAACAAATGACCTTAAAGAACCCAACTTGCAAAACCCCAAAATAAACCACCTCGGACAGAAATCACCTTCGGCAGTGGCTGCATTTTCAAACTTCTCTCTGTAACTGCAAAATTGAGATTTTAAATGTAAAAGCCAAGATCTTCATATAATTGCTTCCTTGCCAGCACTGGCCCTGAAGAAAAACTGCTGTATATTGGGAAAGCTGCAGTACTGTGATGATATGAAATATTACCTTGGCCGCTGTCTCTGGGAGCGTGCGCGTGAAGCCCCTGTAGTAGGTTGTAGCAGCAGAGCAGGATGATTGCTTATAGACTTTCACCCTCCAGAAGCAATTGTGCCCAAATTCATGAGCTCGATTCCTGTCTCAATTCCGTTAGAATATTGCTGTTAAAGAAGATACAACTACAAAAAGACAATCATCTACCCTGGAAATTCCCACCCCTCTCAGTTCTTTAAAGATATATATATATATATATTTATGTCTCTACCATTCAATGGTAAATGCTCTGCTCTTCATTTTATTTGCCAAATTGCCCAGAATCTGATGCACATCCCTCATTTGTGCAGCATTCAGAAGCACAAATCAGCATGTGAGCACTGCTGAGGGTTGCAGAACCTTGCAAGAATTCTAACCTCTTACTTAATGACAGACCTTAAATTCTCTGCACTTGCTATCAATTCAAATACAGAGATCACTTACAAAAGTCGTTTATTATTCCCAATGATTAGCTGAAATGAATCCCTTATGCCAAGGTAAGAGTCTTGGGTTTCAATAGAAATAGTCTGTGGCAAACAAAATGCATGTTCGTATTCATACATTTTAATGCACGCTGCCAATCACTCAGAAGAGCAGCAAAACGCAGTATGTGTAAAATAAAGAGCAACAGAAGAACAATAGAGTGGATTTGGTTTATTCTCATCCAAGCGCAGTTAAAGCAGCAGCATTTGCAATAGCAGAGCTCAGCAGATTCCAACAGGAAAGGAAATATTAGTCAACAAATCCTTAGAGTTTTCTGAACTTGCCAGTCAGGGTGGAGAAGGCTTCAGATGCTTCCAAATCAGACTGAAGAAACAGGGAAGATGGGGTAACTAAATGACTTTATTTTCTCAATATTATCTTAGATATGAAGGATTAATGGCTTTATGAAGCTGTTGGATAATAGTCCCCTGCCCAAGGAATTCTGCATGTAAGAAACTTCCTGGACCCTCCACACCATGAAGGCAGGAGAAACCCCAAGGCATTAAGCCAGGTATCTTTCACAGTGGTCAGGGGTAAAACTGTAGCGTATTGCAGCTAATTTCTTAACATTCACTGTATGCCAGTGTGAGATGTTCAAGAACAAATAAGACCCCTCTTCTGCTCTTTGATGAAAGAAATAACCCACTCCTACGCTACTAAATCTGTCTACCACCACTTTATGTTTGGGGCTTTTTTACCTTCTTCCTTTTTCTCCTGACATGATAACCTTGCTGGTCTTACTTTTCTTCCTTTCATATTGGAGCAATGTGAGTAGTGCCCACCCTGGCTTTCTTGCAAGACGCTACAGACTATAGGGCAGCTGGCAGGATGATGCCTTAGATGCCAAAAGGCAACTCTGAAGGGCTTTTTTTTGGGTGTGATTTACCATTCCTGCTTCAAATGAGTAACTGAAATCTTCTCTTCAGCAACCTGGATCTCAATAAAAGCAAGCCGGAAAAAAATTGCAATTAGCCCCATTATTTCTAAAGAGAAACCCAACAAATTATTGCAGGTTGTAGTTTTTCAGCTCTTCAATTACTGCGGATGCCAAACTAAGAAAAATCTGTATTTATATCGCTCTGTCCAGGGAACAAGTTTTTAAAGCAAACAAAACTGTTTATTTTTGGAGCCTGGGAGAATGCCAATGTAGTCCCTTATTCTGATAGCACTGCTTCATTAACTTACACCAGTTTATCAGGTATTTTATGCTTTTACTGAAAAAAAAACACCCCAAAACCCCACAGGTCCTAGTTTGTGTGTAGAGATGAAGGGGTGAAACACAATTTGACCACCTCATTTCCTTCACCGGGATTAAGTTTTTGGTAAGGCTCCAGTATTTGTTGGAAACTCCTAGTGGGCACTACTTCCTCACTCTACCCAAAATAAATTCATCCAATATTAATCATTTGTGAAAACAGCGTAGCTTTTTCACACCACTGATACCGTTCCTGTCAATTGCCCCCAGCAGCACAAGAGCCATTCCGCTTTGTAACGTGGCTGTCAGAGCTATTACTTTTATTCTTTCATTCATCTGGTCAATTTCTGACAACACGCCTGAACCCGAAATGCACTTTGTTCTCTAAAAACGTGTCAGAATAAAGAAATAAGAAAAGATGGGGGGAGGAAGTGGCAATATTCAGACTCTGAGCCACGACACCTGTCAAACACCAGCAAAACCCAACGTCCCACTTCCAAAGCCCGGGCTGCTCGGCGGAAGCCGAGGCTCTCACAGTGAGCTGGCTGCATCCAGACCCCCCTTCCCTGTCCCCTCCTGGCTCTTCACCTCCCACCCGGCACGCGGCCAGCCCTTCCCCGCCCGGTGCCAGCGGGGCCGCCCCGGCTTCCCCCGGAGCAGGCCCCAGCTCCCATCTCCTTCCTCCCGCGGGAAACGACCTTGGCTGCTCCGCGCTGCCCGGGGGCGAGCCGCTCTCCGCCCCGGACATCTCCCGCCCGACCGCCCCGCTCCACAGGCAGCCCATGGGCGAGCCCTTCCCCTCCCCGGGGTCTCGGAGGCGCCGGGCCCACTCCGTCCACCCCGCCTCGCTCGCTGAGGTAACCCTCGCCTCGGTGTCCCCCCTCGCTGAGGTAACCCCCGCCTCGGCCAGCCCGGTGTCCCCCCTCGCTGAGGTAACCCCCGCCTCGGGCAGCTCGATGATCCCCCCCGCCGCTCGGTGAGGTAACCCCCGCCCACACCCTCACACCGGTGTCTCCGGGCCGGCTCCATGCCCGCGCCCCGCCCCCGGGCCCGGGCAGTACCGGGCCGCCCGCCCGCCGGCTCCAGTCACGCTCCCTCCCCCGCCCTCCGCTCCCTGCGTGACCATCTCCGGGGAGGGGGTGGGAGCAGGCGCTTCTCCCCCCTCCCTCCCCGTATCCCACACGCTTTTGATTGGCCTGACCGAGCCGCCCATCAACGCGACCCTCAATGCTGATTGGCAGCGGCGGCAGGCCAGGACACAGCTCCCGCCCCGTGGGAATCCCTCCAGCCCTCCCCAGCACTTCGCGGCAGTGTCCTCAGAAGACTCATTGGGCCGAGGGGGCAGCTCCAGCGCTGGCGGCAGATCCGCTCGCCCATTGGCCAGCCACTGTGTCAATCTGCCTAACCGCAGCGCCCCATAGGCTGGCGGGGCGCCCGGAGGGCGGGGCTAGGACGGCCCCCCCCGTCCCTCGCCATCCTCCGCGGTCCCGCCCTGTGACTAACTCCCGTGTGTGAGTCACGGCGGGGCCCGTCAGCGCCGTTAAATGCCGTGTGCGGGCGGGCGGCGCTGCTTGGGCTGCCCCGGCCCCCTGCGCGCGGGCGGCCGCCTCCCCCGCCTCCTCCGCCTCCTCCCCCGGTACATGGCAGTCGGGCCGTACTTGTCACGGTGTCACATCCTCCCCACCGGCCGCGGCCCCAACTTCCCCCCTAGCTCGGCTGCCGCCGCCGCCCGGGGCCACCGCAGCGGCATGGGATAGAGCACAGCCGCCTCAGCGCCTGGCCGCCGCCTCCGTCGCGCAGCCCGGCGCCTCGCCGCACGCTCTTTTAAACTGATTCCCTCCTCTCCGGTTCACATTCCTCACCCGTGCGTTCTCCCCCCCCCCAACCTCTGACCCCCGATCGCCCCCCGCTCCCCTCACCGCCTCCCTCAACAGTCCTCAACGGCGCTCGCCGAGGAGCCCCCCGGAGCGGGTGAGTGCCGGGCACGGCCTTCCCGGGCTCGCTCCTTTCTGCCTGCTGGGATGGGAGGGAAGCGGGGGTAAGGGGTGGGCGAGGGGCCGGGGCAGCCGCCGGTTGTGCGGGGAGGCGGGCGGGGGGAGCGCGGTTGCGGGCCGGCTGTCTCCCCTGGCTGCCAACTGTTTGAAAGTTGGGGGCATTCGCCTCAGCGCAGCCTGGCAGTGGCCGCGGAGGCACTTTCCTCCTCGGACTGGGGGAAAAAGGGGACATTAAATATATATATATATATATATAAAAAACCCGGCGTCGTTGCCACCTACAAATGCATGTCATGCTGCCGGTGACACGTTTGTCTGTAATTTCTGTTTTATTTCCCCCACTCCTGCTTGAAACTGCGGTTGAGGCTGTGGCAAAGGTTGATAGGAAGGGTAAGGGGCTCCCGAAAGCTGCCCGGGTCGAGCAGATCCCTCCAGCCCAGGCTCTGGATACTGTCCTAATGGAAAACCAGGGAAACCCACCTTTCTTATTTCAGGTGCACCATCCTCCTCCCCACCCTGCCGTGCCTGGATGCTTCGCTGTTACCTAGGCTTGACTTGGCGTGGCAGGAAAATGCGGGTGTTGTAGGGTGAAATCCGCAGTTTTGGTGGCTTGGATTGGTGCGGGGAGAGCTCAATGTAAAATGGTTATGTCTCTGTTTCATTGCTATCGATTTTTATTTCTTTTTCCCCTCCTTAATGTATTTTTAGCAACGTGAATGTGGTGTGCATTCGTCGTGTGCCATACGTTTGGAGTAGCTAAAATACAGTAGATACATGGAAAACCCCAGCAGCGTTTCCATACACAGTGCATCTGAAGCCTCAGTACTTTGCCTGGTTTAGTTATTAATATTAATTGCTCGATCTTTTGTAATTCATATCATATGGAAACTAATTGCTGAATTGAAGGCTTACCAAACCTCACAGTGCTCCAAAAATCATCTTTCTCGGTTATCTGAAAAATAAATCTGCTGAACTTTTGTTAAGAGGAAAGGCCAACATCGTTCTGAGAATCCTCCACGTAAAGTTTCTTTTTTCAAGGCAAGCACTCTTGTAAATAAGAAGTAGTAAATACGGCTTTAGTCAGTGACTACTTAAGTCTAGTCTTAAGTATGCTTAAGATCAGCAAATTTCTAGAGGAAATGAAGCCTTCAACACATCTTGTCTTCTTTCTATCTACAAAGAGAGGGAGGAAACAAAAAAAATCATCCCTGAGACTGATACCAAACAGAAAATCAGTCGTTATCCCAAAGAGTAACTTGGCCAATGTAACCTGAAAACTTATTAAATTGTTATTTTGCCCTTTTTTTCTTGGGGGGGGGGGGGGGGGGCGGGTCCTTGAGCTGTGGTCTCTTAAATCAATATGAAGTGGGCGTGCTTTCTCCTCTGGTACTAGTTTAGCAACGGTGTAACTTCATTAACTTTAATGGAGTGAATTTGCATTAATGTGAAAAGTAATCAAGAAACCCATGATTTTAGAAGGCCCCTATAGTAGTGACGTGACAAGCTCTGATTCCTTCTCTCATCAGACCCAATTACGCCACCCTTACTCATGCTGAGTGGTACTTTACTGCGCAAGTACTCCCTTCGATGCTCGTATGACTACTTGTGTACAACAGTACCGGTCCGGGTGAGGTAGAGTGGTGCTTATTTTTTCATAACTCTTTTTTATTTTCCCCCTTCCCTTGAAATAAGAATATATTGGATAACTACTTTTCTTGGGTGGCGAAGGAAACTTCTGAGGACTAAATGTAAAGGTGCTCTATTAAGTGACCGTACCAACCCCCTCCCCGTTTAAGGCTTATGTGCTACCAGTGAAACAGGTAAGTTTTCTGTGTGTTTAGCTTTCCCTTGTTGCTATGGAAAGTAGGAAAAAAATAGTTGAAAAACTCATTCTTGTCCTGAAATTCCTCTGTGCCTGAGGGAATCCATACCTACATGTTGTGTTTGACTTGGAGTTGTTTTGGGGTTTTTTTTCTTCCCCTCCTCCAGACCCCCCCAAACAATTCACATTGAATTGTTTAAATGTTTTCTATTGAAATCACTGGCAGCAGGATCAGGCCCTCAGTTGTTTTTCTTTAAAGCAGTTGATAATGGCTGGATGTGAAGTTGTAAAATGATAATATTACCTGGTGTGTCCACAGCTCAAATCCACTGTCTTATTACAATCTCAGAAGAAAGCTCTGGACTAAGCAGCCTGTAAAGAAAATATGTCTAACAAAGCACAGCTGACTTCTGCCTTCATGATCTTATTTATAAATCTCTTGAAAGTTTGCTTGATACTCTTCCAGAACAAGACACATTTCTTTCATGTTTGTTTCATGTTTTCACTTCCTCCTATGACTGTATTCATAGCTAAGCTTTTGTGTCACTGAGTGAGATGTTATTGTAATTAACATTAATTATGAAAACTAAATTGTTTTTAGAGGCTCTCTAAATCCATATTGATACTGTCAGCTTGTTTGGTGAACAAAAATCCAGACATTTCACCATTCTCAGACAAAATACATTAACTGGTTCCAAATTAATACACGCATGGGAAAGCATAGAAAAATTAAGCTGTTTTTAGCTCAAATGGTGCATTGACTCTTGATGGAGATGGTGAATACAGTACGGTTGGATCTGAGACATCAAGGCAGGGTAAACGGGGAGCAAGAAAGAGAATTAGGTACAGGCGTTCTGGGAGGGTGTTTACACTGCAGAGTTCCACCACATTCTTTCCAGATAGGCAGTACTAGATTAATTGGGCCAGATTCTGCAGTCCCTGATTGAGCAAAACTCTCACTGAAGTATGCTGGAGCTGTCTGCTTGGTTGCGGACTGCTGAATATGGTTGAGAAATGGAGAAAAATAACAGTGTTTGTCATTAATTATTCACGACATTTCAGATTCTAGACTTAGAGAAGATATCTTCCTTTAATTTGATTTAAAAGGTGTTCCAGGTGTTGGTTATTTTTAAAATGACAAACCTATTGAAATATTTTTGAAATACACATATTCCCTATAGCAATGGTAACATTTTATAATGTCAGTTATAGTGACATTCACGAAAGTCTCCATGTCTGATTTGGAATCGCCCCCTTGAAACAATTGTGAGCTGAGAAGGACATTAGAATCTCTTCATAGAAATTGTAATTGTTGCAATATTTATATGCTATATTGTTATATAGTCTCGGGAAGAAAAAAATAGGGGTGGGGAGAGTTTAAATGAGAATTTGCTGTCACGATACTGAATCCAAAAATAGATGCAGACTAGCAGATTATTCCCTGTCTTAAAAATGAAGTGTCTCTAATTTCCCATTTAAATAAGCAAAATTTGGTTTGCAGTTTGCTTTGGGTAATGAAAGGGTTTTTTTTTTTGTTTCTGCTTTCAGTGCAGTGGTCCTCTGGAAAGTTAGAAACAGTGCCCTGGGGCTCAGCGGAGTGGAGGGTGTATAATTATACGGAAGGCTCCATAGCATCAGTGAATTAGCATTAGCAGCTGAGTGAGTTTGTTAAGCTGTAGAGATGGCATTATGGAAATCAATAAAATGCTGATTTCTTATTGCAGATTCCATGTTAAAAGGAAAAGATGCTGTTTGTTTGTCTGCTTTTCATGTAGGCTTGCCAAACCATTAGTTGATTTGGAAAGGCAGGTTTTTCAGTTCAGACAGTAAGTAGTCAGGGTTTTTTCTTTTTTAACTCTTTTAAATCCTTATTTATTAGATTGTCTTTCAGAAATCACACTAACATCCTGGCCTGCAAGTGGCTTCAATGGTGTCTGTTTGTCAGTAGAGGCAAGAGTGAAGGTCACTTATTTTTTCTTATGACATGCTGGTGTGGCATTGTTGTAGCCCTAATGCTGTATGTTCCTGACATCCCTGCTTCTGCTTTAAATTAGATTATCTCAAGTGTTTGGAGAGTTCTGATGAGATGCACTGAAATCCACGGTAAAAAAAATGAAAGAGAAATAGTGACTTTAACTGTTTTCAGAGATGTGAGTCAGGAGGGCTGATATTAATCACTGTAAGATCTGTAATATCCATTGGCCTTTATTTCTTTGTCTCAAAGCTTCTCCTGCTTTTATACCAGAAAGACAAGTAACCAGATCATTCATCACATTAAGTGCCTACAGAGAAATGACAGATCGACAGCCTTATGTTGAGTACTGTGTAACATGTATGATGCATTAAGTTCTGATCATCTATATAAAACATTTTAATTGGGAGGAACAGTAAATGGGAATGGCTGTTATCTAACCCAAGGACTTTTGTTTTTTCTTCTTCCTCACTGAAATTAAACTTCAGTTCATAATAAAATTCTTTTGTGTTAATACATCTGTATGCTACGACCCTTGATAAAATACTCTGAAACATTTTATTCAAGTAAAGATACACTAAGAGCTTTGGGGAAACCTGTCTGCCTTAGTGGTGGGCAGCATAACTAATGGCAGTCCAGTGGACTTTATGGAACTAGGAAGGTCCAACTCAGAAGCTTCTCCAGGGACACTGTAGGGAGCATCTGTTTTGTGACATGTGAGCAGCGTATGTACAGAGTGCAGATACAGTGAGGCGTGCGGAGCATGTTCTTGTATTAATAGAAACAGTTCAGAATGCTGGATTTATGATGCAAGCAACAGTAAAGGTCAGCAACTTGGAAAATTAATAATATGGCTCGTGTTGACATTTCAGAGGGAATTCTGATGGGGGCGTGGTTCCAGTGAATGTAAACTCGCTGCTCCGGCTGCACAGATAAAATGGACAGCCTCCCTCTTATCTCTTTGGTAACCCAAACCTTTTTTACTGAGAGACTGGCAAAATTATGTGTGTGTTTTCCCTATGCCTTATTGTTTCTGTTAATCTCTAGAGCCAGTGAAGGCCAATATCTAAGCTTTTAGTGCTCAGCTACAGCTTAGAAATGACATTCCGCTTTCTAATGATTATGAGCAGGTGAAGTCACAGGAAGGGTGGGGGAGTTGGAGTGACAGTGTGCAAGTGAACTCCCCATTCTCTAAAATACTTGCCTCTAGTTGTAGTGATCCACAGTGCTTCCTATCTCAGCATTGCCATGGGTGTCCAGTTAAGTTTAAAAACACAGGGGGAGTGGGAGTGGGGTGGAGGGAAGAAAAACGGGGGATGAAGAGCTCTCAGCTGAACACAAACCCTTTTTAGCTCCTGTTGTGTGAAACAGGGAGGAACCCAAGAAATGATGAGGATAAAGTCTTTCATAACTGCAAAATTACAGCAGTAATGGTGACTCTGAAAAAAACAGCTCCTAGATAGAGAAGGCATTGTAGTCACTTTGCTGTCCTTTCCTAAGCTGTTACTGATGTGGTTAAAGCATTAGTTCTGAGAACAAGTGCGTTGAGAGCTTGATTTCTTCCTCTTCAAGGTTTAAAAGCCTATATTCATATCTTTGCTGTGGGGCAAAATAAAATACTGCTGTTTGATTATCCAAATTCAACATTCTCATTTTAAAAAAGAAAACAACCAACAAAACAACCAAAACAAAATGCACCCTAGTTTATGTTGAAATGAAGTTGTTCAACAGATACTCCTGTGGATGCCTTTGTCACTCTTGGTTATCCTTTTTGGTTTTCTTTTTTCTAATAGTCTTTTAATCATCTGCTTTCCTTCTTTCTGTCCCGCTGAATTCCTTTTCTGTTAGTTTTGATTCTCCACTTCTTTCCAGCCAATTTTCTCCCCATTTATTGTTCTTTCTAGTTTTAATCAAGTACCAGTGTTGATGCTTGCTTATAGAATCACATTAACAGCTCCAAATAACACTTCTCTATGCAGGGTACAAATAAATAGCAACTGAGCGTTCCTTAAAAAGCTACGGTGGGAATGTGAAATCTGGGGGATCCAGCTCCTGATTTTTGTGGCCCACACTTCTTGGTTTTGGTATGGTGAGTGGTTGTGCTGCTGTCATGCAGTGCTAAGGCACATGTTGAGGTATGAGATGCCAGTAATATTTAGTGTTCTTTGCCCTTGGCAAAGAAAAGGTTCACCATTGCTGACCCATAGTCCAGAAGGAAAATGTGAAGGGAGAGCCTGTTGGAGGTGTGACATGAGTTGGAGCAGTTATCCTGAAGGAGTCAGGACCACAGCCAGAAATAATACCCAGGTGTCATCAGCTTCAGGCACGTGCCCTGTGCTGTAGCAAAGCAGGAGGTTTGCTGATTCTATGCTTTGTGGAGCTCAGTTTTATATATATATATACATATATATATGTGTATATATATGTTCTTCTTGTTCTATTTTTTGTGTGTCTTCTCTGTTTTAGTCTTGTCTTCAGTATATCATGGCTACTCTTGACCTCTCAGACTGCATCGCAGGGATGTTATAAAGACTTACTGGGTTTTCCCTCATCCTGTGCTGGATGTTTGGCTGTTGCCAAAGAAATTGAGGTCAGAATCAGGGCTTCTTGAATACCATGCACCAAAAAGTATGTCTGTATGTGCTGAAGGTACCAAAATACTCTTTACAAAAAAAACAAACAAGGTTTGTGGCGTTAAAAAAGCTAACATTTGGTTTGTGATGCAGTGTGAGAACGAAGGTATAAAATGAGATGGATTTTCTGTGGTGATGTAAAGATAAAAGGTGCAGCCTTTTTAGGAGAACCTTCAAACTATTAAACATTTTTAAAGGAATAACACGAATTCTTTGCTGAACCTGCTAATTTGAAGGATTTGAAGGTGAGCAGCCCTCCTTCCTGTGAGAATGAGCATATGTGATAGTAAAGTTCCTGAAACGGAGCCGAAGTCTCTAGGCCTTGTGGTGGTGATGATTATTGCCTGATAGAAAGTGGAAGAGGTAGCAGCCAGATACGCAGTGGGAGAATGC